CTAGTAACAGAAAGACCAAAAATGTAGAATAATCCCCCAAAATAACAAACAAAAATGCAACAGATTGTGTCTTAATAACACTTTTGCATTGAACTAAGGTTGATTGAAAAAAAAAAAAAAATAAAATATAGCATCCAAGCCATAGGACAGACCATTTCAGATGACAAAGTCAAGCCTCATTGTTAACATGCTTTTTAGGCTGGTGTACGTGGTGTCTGGTTGCCTTGAAGGAGTTCAATTAGTGTTGCACAATCTGCTTTAAAAAAGCTGGGTTTCCCAGGCCTAAATACTGGAGGAATCATCTTGAAAGTACTTTGTTAATCACACAGAGCTAAAAAAGATGCAGAATAAAGCAGGTGCTGTAACTTATCACTGAGCAACGGGACAATTTAACCCAGTCCTGTGCTTACAAGTGAATTGACTGGACCCAGAAGGAGAGTATGTGAAATCTGGACATTACACTAGGATGAAGAGGAAGTTTTTCTCTTATGTTTAAATTACTTTTGGCAGCTGAATGATGGCTTTTTGTTTGGTTTGGTTTAAGGCGACTGAGTGTCTCTGCAGATATATTAAGTCTGATATGCTGGGATATGGTTTGAAGCTTTTCCTGACTGGCCTGATCAATCATGTTGTCATCCCTAACCTTCAGTGATTGATTAAAAAGCAGAACTCATCAGAAGTGATTCACTATGAGGAGATTATACTCTGACTATTTTACTAAGGTGATATATTATTCGTAGTTTACAATAATTTTGCGGGTTTTTTCTGAGTATATTCAGTCAGAGATTTTTGTTGTTTTCAAATTTAAATGAAAAGAAGTAGTAAAACTTTCCCACTGTTTCCTTTTTCCTTTTTTGATTATTATTTATGGTGACCATACAAAACTTACAGGTGACAAGAGAATTATTTAAAATATTATGTGATTGAGTGTAATATGCCACAGTTGCAGTGAGGCTTTATCAGTTTTGTTGCTAATGACATTGGCATTTGCAGTGACATCTCAAAACTCAGTTAATCTAATACTTGAGCAGCCCCCTCTCCTAAGTAATGTGGAGCTGATGACTTGACAAAAATGTCTTATTAAAACTTTGCAGCAAAAATGTGAAAGAAGAAGATATGGCAGTTATGCTTCTTTCAAATAAGATGTTCTCTTCAGCAAGAATGCCTCTACTATGCTAATATAACGTGTCAGTATCTATGGAAATGTTCATTCCAAAAGCTTCTATTGGCATCAATGAAAAAATGCTTAATGAAGGCAGATGGTGGTGTTTGAGCCTGTGACCTTTGCTTTAGTTAATTTTCTTTCAGGGAACAAAGTTTCTTATCCACTGATGGTAGAAGTAATGGCTAAGAACTCTCTAAATGAAATAACCAGTAATATTGATAATTTTTCTCTCACTTTCTGATCCATTTGTTTTAGTGACATCCACATATCAGCAAAAACGATGAGAATATTTCCCTGATTTCAAAAAGCTATGTATAGGGAACATTTTGCATTAAATAAGAGTTTGTCATATAATCAGTTTTATTCTTTCCCTGGGGAACTCAATTTATTATTAGTCATTTTCTTCTGCCAGTGTGGGTCTTACAGCCAGTGACAGGAACAATGGCAAATATATAGCAATGAAACCATACAAGTTGGCAGAGGCGTGCAGATGCAATTAAATTATTCCAGCTCTTTAAAATAAAATCTGATCCAATATCAGGTTGTCAGTTTGTGTAATCAGTTTCCAGCTTTTAAAAATACACTGCAGTCTTAAGCTAAAGGTCTGATTCAAAAAAATAGATTGAAATATACCCCCTGATTTCAGGGTGTGCTGTACAAAGTCCTCAATATTTTATACAAAGTACTAGGAGTAGTCATCTCCAAAGACAATGAAAATGAAGCTCCAACTCACCTCAGAATATCTGTAGCTTATTTTCTCTAATTTATGAAACTTCATGGCACTGGAGAAAGTGGCATCTTTCTTCTACAGGCTAGACATATATTTCGAAGTCAAATATTTCTTTCTAGTGGTTCCATTTCCTATCAGGTCTATATATGTTACAGTGTTGGCTGAATTTCCCACACAGAGGAATGAACAGGTGTGACTGACAGCAGAATTCAGGCTTGGGAAAAATTGAAGGTTTTGGCTTCTTCCCCTGGAAGACTCAAAACAAAATGCTGAGTTATTATTCTCTTGATTCCTTTTCAGTATTTATGACTGCTACTCTAAGAAATACTTTACTATTTTATAAGGCTGGTATGCCTCCAGAAACTAAAGAATGTCAAGTGATAAGCCCATAGAAATAAGATTTTATCTGTGCTGCTATAAGAACAGTGTTTTTTAACAGATCAGGAATAATTGATGAATGCTGGAAATTGCTGGGAGAGCTGATATTTTGTAACCACAGTGAGAATTAGCACACATTTCTTGTAAGAATGAAAACTCATAAAAATCACATCTCCATGCTGAAATGGGATACCCTTTAAAAGAAATACATGTACTTATATATATGCACATGCAATTGTACATATAAATGCATATATAAAAGGCAGCAGGATAGAAATAGAGAACATGTGAACAAGAGTACAACGCCTTTCACCCAGTAGGTATAGTTTTATCATTTTTCTGCTGTCAGATTAATGTAATCTTTTTTGCTGGAGTAAATACAAACTTCCCTGAAGAGGGGAATAGACAAAAATGTGATGTGGTACATTGCAGTATAACTTTGTGGTCTATCATATATATATATTTATATATGTATATATATGGCATATAAATATAAATGGTGTGCATATGATAGGCATATGCAGACATTAAAAGTAATGATTCATGACAAAGCATGTTGCAAGCCCTCTGTTCTCTGTGAACAATCTGACTCATTTCTCTTCCTGGGAAACAATCATATGTATGCAATATTGCCTATAATCATCTGCAGGAAAATTTCATTGCATTGCCTGTGACAAGGCTGGCAGGTGCTGGGACACCCATCTGAAGCAGAGTGCTTCAGTTAAGTGAGAAGAGAAAAGCAAGGGGCACACTTAATTCCCTAAGTAATGCAGAGATGTACTATGGGCTGTCTCAGCAGCTTCCCAGGAGAGGCTGGGTGCCAGGGCTGCACAGTGCCTGTTGCACACCTCCTTGAGAAGGAGGATCTGGAGTCTGGGACACAGAAGCAGCTCTCTGGTGTTCCCAAATTTGGTCAGTTCGGGTGTTTGTATCATGGCCCTGCCTCTTCCCATACCTCCCTCCCCCTTTTGGGATTCCCCCATGTGGGATCTTTCGCCGTCAGCACAGTGGTGTGTATCATTTCACTGTTTCACTGAACAAGCAGTAAATGAAGTGAAAAACACTGTAAAGACTATACCTTGATATAAGATATTTCCATCTCAATATGTCTTTGTGCATTTCTGTTAGTTGTTCCATTTTGTAGAGACTAATACAAGCAGAGTCCTTAATTTATGGTATGTAAACTCCAAGATACATGGTGAAAGTAAAGTAGACTTATCTGCACTTTAATTGAAATATATTCCTCTGAACTCTTCTGAAAAATGGAAATTATGGAATATGAGTAAGAATCACTGTAAGAATAACATATTAGGAAAAAAAATGTGCTGTTGGTATACCTAATTTCATTGGCTAGTTAAGATTTTTCAGATATTCTTTTCAGAGGGACATTTATGCAAAGCATAACAAGGAATGAAAATATACAATAATATAATACCTGAAAAGGCCCATTAAAAAATCTGAGCTATTATTAAACTGTAGCAGACTGCTTGAGAGCATATAATTCTTAAACCATAAGAGTTTTAATATATTAATGAGGTGAAATAGTGAGGCTTGTTACTACTAGGATATTCACTGCTTGTGAACTTTCTGCAAAAGCAGAGGAGCTTATAAAACATTTGTTCTGTGCATATGAAAAATAACCAAAGTCAATAAAATTGTTTGGAAATAGGTATATTTGATGTCTAATACAGTGGGGCTGCTTCTTCTAGTAATTTTTTCAAGTGCAGATGCATACAGCTCTATGCTGTGTATGCTTATTGCCTTTTTATACAATTTCTGCCCTAATTCACCTTTCTGTATCATTCTCTTGAAATCTCAGGAGTACCCTTGGCAGTTTGATTATGTATAATGTATTTATTGAAAATAGTACTTCTCTGTGAATTGAATATTTGATGTTGCTTTTATAATCAATTGCTTTTAAAATTGGTGATTTATCCTAAAGTCCTTATACACTTGAATATGAAATAATAGTCTTTTATCCTCACCCCTGCTTCTTTTTAGGTAGTTTTAAAGAGTTCTTTGCAAAGGGCAGTGCATCTTTTACATTGTGAGACAATTAACTTGTATGCAAGAGACATAGGTTTCTAGGAGTTTACACAAAATATGTTTGATTTCAAGCCACTTAAATTACAAAATGTCTATCATAATGCTTTGTTTAGAAGAGCTGAGATGGTGGCCAGATCCTTGAGGAAACATAAAAAGATTAATGATGGAGTTCTGCCTGGCTCTTAGATTCTCACTTCCTGAATCAGTGTAGCAGAAATGTATAAGATGACACATTGACTCTGGGGAGGGAGCAGCAATGATTTGCCTTATTATTTCACATGTCAGTCATGTAATAGAGCAATACTGTGCCAAGGAGTAAAAGAAGAAATTTCTAGCTCATCTGTCCTTCAGCTTGAAGAATCTTTGCACATACTTCTGAAAAAAAAAGTATGTATTTGCAAATTAGGACCTTACTGTAGGTAAGAACAAAGAAATATCTAGATCTTCTCAGACATTCTACTTGGAAGCAAGACAAAATACCAGGAAGTAGAAACAGTGCTCAGTTTGCATATTAATGGCCTTCTGAAGAAGTGCCCTACGGATCACCAGCTCCAGAAAAATTATTTTGAGTGAATTGCTATGTACTCTTTCTCCTGCAACATAGAGCAAAGTTGCTTAATGTTTTTTCAGTCATTCTCAAATGTCTGTACATGTTCCCTTTGTTGTTTGATTGATTTATAGATCTATTTGCGATTTTTGGACTACGAGATGCAGAATTCCAACGAATGCAAAAGGAATTTTGTAGCAGTGTATGACGGAAGCAGTTCGGTGGAGGATTTGAAGGCAAAGTTTTGCAGCACAGTTGCTAATGATGTGATGCTGAGGACAGGCCTGGGTGTAATCCGCATGTGGGCAGATGAAGGCAGTCGAAACAGCCGATTCCAGATGCTCTTCACGTCTTTCCAAGAACGTAAGATCCTAATCAATGCATCTTCCTTTCAGTTTGTTCAATAATACAAGTCCCAAAATCTGTTAATATTTTCTTCATGCAGAGCAGTCACTGAAGTATGTTGCCAAACAAGCTATATAAATATTTAACCAGTTCTTATTCCAAGCATTTGTAGTGAGTAATATTTTTTAATGCAGCAGACAGACTGCAAGATTCAAAACCAAGAAAGCAGGTACAAGTGGTCATGACCTGTCCAGTCATATAACTGTGACTTTTGCCTGATCCCCAAACTACATGAAAGTTTTTCCTTACACAACATGGAAAATAATACAACTCTTAAAGTTTTTATCAAGTCAGATCATTTTCTCTGAATTTGGTTTTTTAGATCTCATTATGATATGCATTTGAAGAATACCTTATGATTATTTTAGCACAGGTAGTGGGTGTATGCGTATAGCAGTGAACATATGTGTCAGATATTGTTAAGCAAAGAGTTTAGGGTTTTTTTGTAGCAACAAAAGCTTTCTAAAATCCTTTCATATTTTGGTTAATATTCTCTTTATTTGCCTTACTTGCGTTTATATTTTATATGACATCTGGACTTAGATAATAAGAAATATAACCTGTAAAGGAAACAAAATGTAGTTCTAGCCAGTTTAAGAAAAGAAACAATCAAATCACAAAAATCCCTCAAGAAAACCCAATAGTTCCAATCACTGAAAACTATTGACCCAGATAATCCTGTGAAAGCCCTATGAGAGATATCTATTTGTTTCCTTTGATAGGAATAATACATATTTGGCCTCTTTAGAAAGGTGCATTTATTTTCACGTGCTGGTTCGTGTTAATTTTTTATGTGTTTTTGGTTTGTGTATCGTGTGTCTGACAGAAAGAAAGATTTCTTTGTGACTGTCAGTGGTTGGAATGAAGGCTCAACCCACCAAACACATTCTTCATCTGTATTCTATGTGTGTGTACCCTGCAATGAGGCAACGAGTCTCTGTTGAGAACAGCCTCCGTAATTCCTTAATTATGGCTCTGATTAAAAAATTTCTGACATTTTACATGCCTGAAACTGCATGCACCGCTGTACTCTCACACTCACAGCCTTAGGGTGGATTATATTATTCTTGCCTGCAAACCAGGCTGGGGTCTAAAAGACACTGAGAACCCTTGGTTGAGATGATATTGCCCTTTTCTCATTTCTGCAACTGGAGATGTCTTGAATATTCAAGATCTGATTCATTTTTTTCACAAGGCATCTTGATCTGTTACCTTAGAAACAACTGCATAGACACTGGAGGTTCACAGCATATAAAGAGCTGGAGAGTGAAGCACTATGATGACTAACTTGAAATGAAGGTTTGAATAAGTGTATGTTTGCAAAGCTCTCGTATTTTAAAGGATAATAAGGAAAAATGTGGTGTTTTTTTCTCTTAAAATATTCCTAATATATTTACCTGACATGCTACACCTTATAAGCTACTCCTTTCTTGTAAGCAGGTGATAGTTTATAGTGAAAAATATTCTGACTGAGAAATTCAAAATACTAACATAATGTGCTTTCTGTAAATTTGCTCTGAAGAGTCATTGCTCACTAAAAGCAGAAAATTTATTAAAGGCTAAATAATACTTGGAAATATGTCTACACAGCCTGCTCATAAATAGTAGAAGATACTGCATCTGTGATTTTAATGGTGGGAATTACCTTTAAAGATTTAAAGGTGATGCAGATGGTATTTTCTGTGTCTTGTCAGTTGTCCCTAAGTGCTGCCCTATGCCACACACTGGTGCTGGCTGTCAGGAGCTGGCTAGAACAGATGTCAGTGAGACACACTGAGACACAGCTCATGGCATGTAAACTGCAGCACCTTTCAGCAGCGTGTGGGAATAATTAGATCATCTGCATGGAAGAGAAGGAATGTCAGACCTCATTCAGGGAGATGTGCATCAGGGAACAGACACCTGTGCATCTCTTCAGGGACAAAGAAAGAGGAAAAAAAAAATCTATTTTGTTTATATAGAGCTGAGAAAAGAATAAAATGGAAGATTACATTTATGTTGCAGTAACGTGCATGGTAAAGAGTGACAAAGTATTTTCTGTTCCTGTGGGAATGACCAGGAGGTGTTGTGATCTGTTTCTCCTATAGTTCTTATTGTGGAGTTAGGCTGTTGAGACTGTGAGTTTTCCCTTACACAAGGCTCTGTGTACTGGAAGCGCTATCTTGTGGAAACAAGCTACTAAGCCTGAGCATTGTTTTCTTTCAGTGTAAGTCTATTCAGTGTTTATTCCAGTTACAGGCCCATTTCCTGGGGACTTGACATTTGTGCAGAACAGAGAGATCTTCAAGAGATTTCTTCCATGATTGTTTTTATATGTTCCAATCAGGGTGTTCCAAATCCATTTAAAATATGTATGCATTTTTTTTTTTTGGCATCTAAAAAGTGCTCTTATAATTTCCCAAACCTCTCAGAGTGATGCCTTCAGAGCAGCAGTGCTGTAAATATGTCTTAAGGAAAGGTATACAATGCATGAGGTTGTTAAATTCCCTGCACCAGAAAATCAGGAATGATTCTCATCATTGTCAAAATAGTAGTTGAGCTCTAAGTAACTCTTAATAACTGATTAATTCTTAATAGATGATAATTTATAGTGATGCTCTGATATTTCATTGTCAGCATTATTAACTATTCCAACTGTCATTTTGGGGTTTGACTGTTTGTGTCCTTACTTTTTTATTTTTTAAGATGTCTTCTAACCATGATCATATTTTTGTGCATGGTATTCACTATTACACTAGATTTTAAATATCCAACAAATTAATATAAGGATCAGTAAAAGGTAAACAAAAATCTGGTATAATCAGTAGGTGTCTGTTCATCTGATAAGAAGACTTGAAAAATGAGTCTTTGTTTTCTCACCCACTGACTTAATGTTCATTTCATTTTCCATGATTGAAGAGTGATCTCCAGCCTGATTAATGACAGACATGCTACACCTACAGCTTCTTCAAAGAGCTGCTCCTCAGCAGACACACCTACGCTTTAGCCTAAAAGCAGATTTGTAGAACCAGGGCATATGGCATAAGAGAAGAACCCTCTGTATGCACAGCAGACAAGATATTCACTTTCTCACCTCTGACTGCCCTCTGGTAGCATGACTTTTGTGCCCAAACCCTGCACCAGAAACCCCAGACCAGAAAGACTTCATTCCTTCCTTATTGTCTCTTTGAGCTCAAAGTCTGTCTTTAGAGCCCTGTCATATGCAACTTTCCTAATGAAGCACAAGTTCTATCATTCTTATTTCATTGCTATGAACAAAGCTCATATTTGAACAGAAGTCCAAGGCCATGCTTAGAAGAGTAGTGTCCAGTTTGATCAAGGAACAGCACTTAAGTTCTTGTTTACAGACTTGAAGAGGATCACCCAGCATGGGCAGTTCTTTAATGGGTAAGAGGGACTGCAGGTATGCAGCACTGGGGACTGTGTTTTTGTGGCAAAGCTAAGCACTGAAAAAGGGAAGAGCAAGCTGTTTAGTGCAACCTGTGGGCTTAGGCATGTAAAGGACTTAGGCAAGGACTAGGCATGTAAACAGATTGCAGCTTGGCTGGTTTTGCTCTCTGCTTCCACACTAATATTTTAAAAGGAAACCATTGGGATTGCCTCGTTACTGGTGAGCACTCATCTGTGATTTTCTTCCCTTCTGTGCTATTTGAAGCTATCTCTAGTGAAAAACCCACACTGGCTAAGCATCCCAGTGACTCTCTGACCCTGAACAAAATAATTCTTTGTGGTGCCCAGAGTGTATTAACAGAACACAGGCTGGAGCTCTGAGCACAGGCTCCTGACCTGCCATTCTCTGGTGAGTTTGTATATCAAAAAAAAAATCATGAACCAAAACCCATGAAACCACATATAGGTGTTTTTGAAAGACTAGATTATTTATCTGTACATGATAGTAACTACCCATAAAAGTTATATTTATCTTTCACAGAGCTATCAGAAAGTGACTGAGAAAGCATCAGTATTAAGCCCATCTCATTTTCAAGTTTCTAATAGCTGTATTTTAACAAGACTTTTTTTATTAATGGCAAATAATATTATTGTATTGCACAATCCTATAACAATCTTAATAATTTTATTATTTTAATAAAGCAAGTGAAACTGTCTCTCAATAAATATTTTTCCTTGAAGAGACTGATAGGCAACTTCTGTTTCAAAGATGATTCAAGGAACATCTGAAGAATTTAAATTTTCCTTCTCTTATGGAGGAAAGTCTTATTTTTCATTACAGAACAATGGGAAAATCCAAATGATCTGTACTTAAAGAATTCGTGTGTGCAGAGCATGAGGCAATGAGCTATCTTGAGGAGAGGAGGAGTAGGTGTGAAATTTCCAACAACTTCAGTGTAAAATGTTTCTCACATCTAACCATTGTTAAGATTTCAGAGTTTTCCCATTCACCCTTAGGAGGAAGCAAGACCTTTCAAAAATGTTATGACAAGAAAGGAAAGGGAGAAAGGAGGGAGAGAGATAGGCCTAAAAATAACAAGTAGGGTAGGACATTTGTCTAAGATTATCCCATCCTGGCCTGAAATCCCTTCCTTGAAACAGGCTCAAAGGGTAAATCCACAGAGTTCAATGAAGTACAGCATAGACACCCAAGCCGGCTGGCTCAGCTAGTTCTCACCCTGGAAGCAAAGGAGCTGCACTAACTGTGGATGGTGCTGAGAAATAGTGAGAAATACCCTGGAGAAAGTGCTGCACTGAAGAGGAGCAGCCAGGCTGCACACCAGCTCCATAACATAACAGATCTGCTTTTAGCTCCATCTTGTAAGAATATTTTGGCCTGCCCATGACTGCAGTTGATATCCAGAGTATCCTGCAATGCCCAACAAAATTATTCCTAATGCACAGAGATAGTGTGTTTTGTTACTTATGTAATAATATCTCAATGATATAATATTTATTCATAACATGGAATATTTAATTTCTATACTGAAATGAAGAACTGTATAGAA